GGGGGGGGGAGTGGGGCTGTGTTTGACTGCCTCAAGCTAAGCAAAGCTATGAGAGTCCCAGGCCCAGGAGCTCATGTTTTCTGTTGTCTCTGGTGGTTTAGTGGAGGTGTACAACTGCGCAACCGGGAGTGCCGACTGTTCTCAGTGCCTGGGGAGGGAGGACCTGGGGCACCGCTGCGTCTGGAGCGAGAGCAGCTCCAGCTGCAGGCTGCACGGCGAGCCCCACCAGGTCTCGGATGCCTGCCCAGCTCCTGAGATTAAGAAGGTGAGACCCGAATGCAACGTGGAGGGCGCGCGTGGGTGGCAGGTGGCGCAGAGGGCTGAAACGGGCTGCGCTGTCCCGGCTGGGGGCAAAAGAGGAACCGCACTTTGTCCCTGGCACAGGGCAGGGTCAAGACCAGCACTGGCTTTCTATGCTGTACCTCACCTGATACCAAGGACATCTTGCTAGTGACAAGGTCCAGTCTTCACCGTGTTAGTGGGAAAAACAACAGCAGCACAGTCAAAATGTCCCAGAGTTCCTGGGGTTGGTAAAAGCGAGAAAGATTTGTAGGGTTGGCTGAAGGATTCTTATCAGGAATAGCATTTAATGTGGACGTGAACCCTATCTCCAGGCACACGTGCTCTGCAGTTCCGCTGAGATTAAGAGTGGCAGAAGGACCTTTTGGCATTATGCATTTTGAAATGAGTTTTCTTTAAAATGTAGTTGAATGAATGTTTCTTGGGGGCATTTGGATCTGGGGTTCTGCTTAGAGGTATGGTATGAGCCAACAAATTTGTCCCTGGCAAGTAGCAGCGAAAGTATATAGAGCAAATCTTAAAATGAGCTCCCTAGGAAAGGAGAAGCCGGAGGGGCAAAACAGCGAATGTGAACATCGAGATCAGCAAGGATATGAGATTCCTGTTCTTAGGGAGGCGTGTAGCGATAGCTGCTCGGAATCCAGGCACTGTAACACTGCATGGAGGGACCGCAGGATCCCCATCGCTGGCCTCTTCCCCCTTGCCACTGTGGGAGAGGGGTGCTCCCCCGTGAGCCTGTCCTTCCCCAGCACACATCAAGTGTTATCAGCACCTCACCAGAAAATAATGGAAGGAAACCGCAGCTCAGGTCGCAGAGCGTCACAGGGCTCTGTCACTATTTCCTTAGCAAATAGCGGCTGGTAAATCCAAATGCTCCAGGGTCACGCAAGCGTACAAGCCCTCACAGAGCCCTGCTGGAGCGGGGCACAATGCAGCAGGCGAAGGAGGGCGCCGAGCCTGGTGGTGGGTCCTGCCCAGCCTTGGCCAAGCCAGTGCCACCGGGCACTTTGTGCTGCCTTTGCAAAGGGAACAGAGCCGTTTCTGAATTGGAGGGGTCTGTCTCACCCGCTGAATAATGCAGTCGCAGTGCCCAGGGATGCCCCTTGCGCGGTGGAGCGGCATCATGCCCAGCACCCTGTCCCCTTGCAGCGGTGGGGTCAGCCGCTGCCAGGTGAAAAACCAGTGGATGGATGGATGGGGAGCAGCCTTCTCCTCCCACAGTGCTGGACTTGTCCTGTGCCCCAGGGTGCCACAGTGCTGGTGTCTTGGCCACGTTCCACACATCAGGACACCGATAACTTGTGTCCCGAAGGGCCCCGCTGTGTTTGGGACAGCCCTTAAAAATGCGTTGGCAGGCTCTCTCCGGCACACCAGCATGCCTCCTCTGGGTTTGTCTCTGCCCCGACTCCATTCGAAGCTGTGGTGTGGAAGGAGCGATGTTTCAGCCCAGGTGCGTTGGGAGCTGGAGCGATCCCTGGCCAAACCCCAGCACCAGACCCAGCGCAGAAGGCCGATGTCTTCTCATTTGCAAAGCTACCGCAAGGGGAGCGTGGCGGCGGGCGTGCGGTGGGGGGAGCAGGAAGGCGAGGAGCAATTCTGTCGTCTTCGTGGGGGGCTCAGTGGGATGTAGGCACAGGCCTAGGGATGAAGGCAAGAAGCTTCCCGGTGGTTCTCCTCCAACCTTTCCCCTGGTGCCGCAGATCGAGCCGCTGCGCGGGCCGCTGGAGGGGGGCACCCTGCTGACCATCCGCGGGAGGAACCTGGGCCGACGCTTCAGCGACGTCCTGGGTGCCGTCAGGATCGGCAGCGTGCAGTGCGTGCCGCTGCCCGGCAGATACCTCGTCTCCGAGGCGTGAGTGTCGGGGGAGCCGGGGAGGGGGGTCCTGCCTCCTTGTGTCCCCTGCCCATCTCCCCGTCCCCATTGCTCACCCCATTCCCAGCCTCGGGCCGCTGCACCCTGGCACTGCCTGGCACGAGGAGGGGGAGGCTATCGGCTCTGCCCCACTGCTCTGGTGGGGTGGCACTACCGCCAACCTCCCCTTTGCTGTCCGCAGGATCGTGTGCCAGACCGGAGAGGCTCAGGAGGCCTTTTCTGATATGGTGACGGTAAACGTGAGCCGGGAAGGGAAGTCCAGGGAGCGATACTCCTACGTGGTGAGTAGCTGCCTCCTGGATGCTTCTTGAGTGATTCCCGCACCCCTTGAAATGAGCCTGCAGCCCCCATGCCCCCCACTGGCTGAGGCAGAGGATCTGGGACAAAAAGCATCGGGGTCCTCGAGGAGCAGCTGCCGTGTCCCTTCCCCTTGGTTACCTGGGCGAGGGGTGGCAAATCCGGGCTCCAGTGCGAGGGGCAGGACCGCAGGCAGGGTGTCGTCAGGCACAGCCTCGCTCCCAGTCTCAGCTTCTGCGGTGGTTTGTCACTCATCCTGGCTGTATTGTCATTTCTCCTCGTCATAAAAGGAGCTCATTTTTCTTGCTTCTCTTTTGCTGAGGTGCTATTTGAACCTGTGAGATTTTTTGAGGCTTGCAAAGTCTCTTTGTGCTGTGTAAGTTACGTACTGTGGACTCACATTATTTAGAACTGATATTTTTTGCTGCAGGAATTGTCTTAGTTTTTGCTTGAGAATAATGTGTAGGGATTAGACTTGAGCTAACCCCCTGTCATTATACAAAGAAAAGCCCTTTGTAGCTTTGTACTGTACCATCTCGCAAAGATAACTTTCATCTCCATAAACCTGAAAGAAATCCATACATTTCTTCTCTTTCTGACAAGCACCTTCGTCGTCTCTGGCTAGACGTTATTCATGGGCAGCCCCACGTGTCCAGGGCAAACACAACAGGATGGGTGCCAAGGGCATGCTGTTTACTCGGAGCCTTTGTGCTTCTGCTGTTGGTTTATCTGGGAAAGAATAGACTGTGCTGCAGTCTGCTGGCATGAAAGAAGACTTGAGCCCCAGGAAATGACATTTGATTCCTGGTAGCCTGTGTGGGGAATTTAGGGCAGGACTGTGGAGTGTAATTCCCCACCCTGTAACCTCGTGTTGGGTGTTTAGTTCAGAGAGGTTTACACAGCGTGCAGCCAGCACAGGCACGGCACATCCCAGCGCCCCGTAGCAAAGCCAAGCCTGGCAGCGCACGAGGAGGGGACTGGTGAGGCCAGGGCACTGCCAGGCTTGGCTCAGCAGTGGTTCCCTGGAGGGCGTTTGCTTTGGGACCTGTTCCCATCGTTTCGAGGCATCCATGCACACATCCAGAATGTCTCCGAGATCCGGCAGCCCAGAGTGGAGCAAGGTACCACAGGGGTACGACCCAGTAAAGGGACCTGGGGTTTGGGATTTCTGGTGTGTTGCCATCAGGATGCGTGTGCTGACTTGGCCACTTTGCGTGCTGCCGGGCCGATTGTCCGATGGACAAAGGGGAGAAGGGCCTGAGGAGTGGGAAAGGGGTGGGTGGCTGCTTCGCCGGCGTTCGGTGTGCAAGGAAAAGCCCTCTCAGGAAACACCTGTAAAAGCACCAGCGCTAAACAAAGCAAGAGGAGCAAAAGTCGGTCACTGAACTCAAACCAGGTCCGTGACAGCTCTGTGCTGGCAGCTTCTGGGCAGGCTCAAGGAGAAGGCTGTCCTCCTGGCAGTGGGAGAGGAGCCGTTTTGTGCTCGGGTGGCACAGCAGAAAGCTGTCTTGCGCCTGTTTATCTCAGCAAAGCTTGGAGAAGCGATGAGAGAGAGCCCTGCTTTGTGCACACGTGTGTCGGGGAGTGGAGTTGCACGATGTGCTCCACACCAACAGTGGCTTCCACACCATTTGCAAACTAAGCAAATGTTTTTTCGTTTTCTTGATTCTCCTCTCACATATGATGGCATGAAGGTGGAGTAGACTATGCCGTGCAAGGCTGGTCTCAGTGAGACCTGAGCTTGAGCGCTGATAGCAGTTTACCTGAAAAAGTTTAAAAGACTTTTAAAACTGCCCCTCCAAAGAAGGTCCTTTGTAAAATACCAGTGTTTGTTTGTGTGCCACATCTTTCAACGTCCTCGTTAGGCCTATCTGGAAGAGACAGAATTCAGCTGTATTTCTGCTAGGAGGAGGGAGAAACGTGATTGAGAGACTTCTCCAGGACATTATAGTAGGCTATGGATGAGATGAATTTGCCAAAGTCGTGATGGAGGTGATCAGTGCTGGGCATGCACTGAGAGCCATAGCCACTGGGTCTTGCTGAGGGTAAGAGCTGGAGGGCTTTGAGGAGCATGAATAATCCTCTGCTGTTGTTGTAACTGCACATTTGAATGCACAGGTTAGGGGCCAAGGGCAGGAGACAGCTGCCTGCAGGCACTCAGAGAAATACAAATTAACAAAACGAGTCCTATGGAAATGGGTAATGACCAGAAACACCAGAGGAAATGGCTGTGGAGGAATAAAGCAGTCTGAGCGTAGGACAAGGGCAAGGATAGCTATTAATAAGCATGTTTGTGTGGCTGGGATTGACAGGAAAGGGCATTAGCGCCAGGCGGTACGAAGCGGCTTAGCCCACGTTCTTCAGCCCGCCCCGGTGCGGTTTTGCTCTGCGGCTGCAGCGAGGGACGGGCTGCGGTGGTGAGCAGCCTTCAGCCACCCTCCGCAGCCCGGCGGGTCTTGTGCCTCCAGGGTTTGCAGTCTCTGACAGGGAGTTACCATGTGCCTTACGGAAGGGTCTTGAAATAGTTATTTGCTCTGCCCTTGGTGTCCTGTTCAAACCGGAGCAGGGATGCTGCCCGGCAGAGTCTCCTGGGGTGCTCTGTGTAGCAGACATGAGGGTTCAGTGCAGCATTAGTTATCAAAGCCTCAAGCTCATGAACCTCAGGAAGATTTCCAGGGGCTGCAAATGCAGATAACATACATGCTGTTTTCTGCTGAAAATGGCGAGAGGCAAAATAACTTCTCCCTTAGTTCCTGTCACCTCAAGAGATTCAGATTTGAAGCTTCCTTAAGAAGGAGTTTGATATTCAATTATCCAGACCCAGGTGGCTGTTTTCACAGATCTCAAGGCCATCATCCAGCAGGGCTTTAGCATTATCTTCGCATTCAGGAGGAAATGGATCTGGAAGGGCAGAGATGGTGGGAGCTGGAATGAATGAGAAATTTCCTTTTGTTGATGGACCTTGAGCTGTCACCAGCTGTGGACCCTCCATCGGAAATCTCAAGGGACTGGTGGGATCTTGGGCTCCAGTTTGGACTCATATCTCATTTATTGCCAGAATTCAGGGACTGCAGCAAGTCACAGAGGTTTTATATGATCTCACTCCTCAGCGCATGTACCTCTCCCCTTGTTCTGAAACCCTGCCAGCAAAAGCTTTTGCCGTGCTGCTGTTTCAAAGCCTTACAATACTGGATACTTAAAATTACTGAAGCAATTCCCTTGTGCAGTGTGGAGTATCCAACTGTGAATCTACTAGGCTAGAAAACAGATTTCCCCTTTGTCTTTAGCTTCCCGTGGTGCAGTCCATAGCTCCCCTGAACGGCCCGAAGGCTGGAGGAACCAGAGTGACCATCAGAGGCAGCAGGCTGGACGTCGGCTCTGAGCTCCGCGTCCTTGTCAATGCTTCCAAGCAGTGCACGGACCTCAGGTGGGACTGGGTCTGGGGGCTGGCGCTGGGGGAGTGACAGGAGCCAAAGCGTTAGGAAGGATGGCGTTGTCCCCCAGGAGATCCGGGAGAGCTGGGGTTTGGGTGGGGGGCACCACTGCGTGCTGCTGCTAAGCCTTGGAGCCAGAGTAGCACCCCCCCCAGCCGGCTTGGCTGCTGCCTCCTGCCTTTCCAGCGCCCGTCAGCCTGGCGTCCCCGGAGCGGTGAGGCAGAGCTGCGGTGCGGGTGCCTGGCACAGGATGGGGCGAGTTCCTCTGACGAAGTGACGGCGCTGACGCTGCCAGGCCCCCTGGGTGGTCTGGGACCAGGACCAAAACCCTGGGAGCAGAGCAGACGCAGGCTTTGTTCCCGTATCTGCTGGAGGCAGGAGGCACCTGCGTGCCCAGGGTCCCCCTCCCACAGCAGCTTGCTGGTCAGAAGAAACCCTTCCTCCTGTATGTTCCTGTCTCGTCAGGGGGAAGGAGTAGGAGCCTGCCCTTTCCCCCTGACTGTATGGGAGATCAGTCTGGCAGCCTGGGATGGTATATGGTGAGTACTGCTCGTTTGTAGGCAGTGTAGTTAGTTAATAGGCAATTGGCACGTGACTGGGAGCTCCTTCTTGCCTGTATCTACCATCGCTTCCAAGGGGCTGCTCAGGTCCACGGTGCCTGGCTCCGTCCGCTCTGTCTGCCGTGGCCTTCTGCAGCTTACCCTGCCTTTCCCTGCGCAGCCGCAACGACAGCACCATCACCTGCACCATGCCGTCGGCAGAGCTCACCACGGCCGTGCGAGTCTGCGTTCAGTTCGAGAACAAGTCTTGTGCCAGCTACAACATCACGTTCAAGTACGAGAAGAACCCGGTTGTATCAGACATCAACCCCAAAAAGAGCCAGATCAGGTGAGATCCCTCCCCCAGCAGAAACAGCCAAGTCTGCCAGGATTTGTCTTTCCTTTTGTGGCCTTTGTGGAGATCAGCCTCTTAATTTTTGCCAAATGCAAAAGTGAACATTGCTCTCCCTTCAAAGCACAGAGCTAATGGGAGTATCCTGGTGTAGCCTGCTGCAGGTGACGCGAGCTCACCCCATCCGCGCCTCAAGCCATCCAGATGCAGAGCAGGTCCTGAGCAAACCCTGTGTCAGGAGCCGCAGGAGCCACTGAAGCACTGCCAGGAGGCAGGGTGCGGTGTTGGGGCCCCGTGCCACGCTGTTGTAGCATCACAACTTCCCGTTCAGAGCTGGCACGCGTCTTCATCTGCCTGCGAAAGAGAGGGTCAGCTCCAGGCTGGTGGGAGAGGGTCCTGCAGGGAGAAAGGGGCTTTCTCAGCCCCGGGGTTTGCACATTGCCTTGCAGACAGGTACAAAAGGGCACCACAGAGTGCTCTCAGGGTGCTTCGGGGTACCCCAGCACTGGAGTAGGAGACGTCTCACACCCCAGGACTGTCCATTACTCATTTCAGTGCATTTAGGACATGGAAAAAAGTCAGCCTTGGTAACTGTACTGCGTACGTCTGGTGGGTGCTTTAGGCAGGTTCAGGTGGGGGGCTCCACGAGGCCCTGAGGATTTTTCTTGGCAGTAAAACTGCTGAAGGCTAAGCTGAGATTTGTAATTTTGGATTTCAGCTTTCCCTGAGGTCACAGTATTTGATTTTTAAAGTGTGTTGCTTTCAATTTCATGTCTCTCCGTGGAGCTCTCAGGCTCCTGTTCCTTTGGATACCATGGTGAAATCCCACCTCCCTCAGCTGTGGAGCCTGAAAAACCCAGGGCTGACCAAGAAATCTGAGAGTCCGGCGCCTGTGCCTGCAGGACCAGGGTGAAGGCAGCACACTCAGGGCGCGAGCACGCAGCAGGCTCTGACGGTCTGATCCCCTTGGAGCAGAGCTGCATCTCGGCATTAGCGCCAAAGATGCCGGCTGTGGGAAGTTAATGACAAGGCACAGCAGTGACTCAGCCAACCTCAGCTCCTTGCAGGGCTGTGAACTGTGCTGAGTGGCGAGAGCGGTATCTAAACACAGAGACAGTGGAAGAATGTCACTGCCCGTATTCACAAGGGAAACTACCAGGGTATTTCTCCATCACCTTAGTCTGCCTTCTTAGTATTTACATCAGTTCCCATATTTCAGACAGCTGAGAATGTGACAGCAGTGTCTGTCTTCAGACTGCTTGGTGGCTTGTGTTGTCCGACTGCTCCGGTGTGTTGCTGAGCTGTTGACCATGAGGCATCAATAATTGGTGTAAAAATTTAGCTGGATCTAAATTATCTTACTGTATTGCTAAAGTAGGCTATGTAGGCAAAGTTAAAAACAAAACAGAAGTTGTAAACTAGTCTGCAGATATGACAGGCTCTTAGCTGGAACCTTGGATCATAACGACGTGGTAATACCCACAGCCTTCAGAGAACCTGACTCTCAGGACCTTGGGCCTGGGTGATCTACTCTAGGTGGTCCTGTTCTGGCAGGGGGGTTGGACTAGATGATCTTTCCAGGTCCAACCCCTAACATTCTTTCCAACCCCTAACATCCTGTGATTCCATGATTCTGTGTGCCTGGAGTGACCTTCAGATAACAGGATCTGTAAGGCCTGACTGCTCCCTGACAGATACTCCAAACAGAGCAAATGCAGTACAGAGGAAGGGGAAGGTGAATCCAGGGTATGGCTTCTGCTGTCCAGAGCAGACACCTTTGCTCTGCCTATCTGTGTGCATCAGGGCTGTCTCGTTACTGTCGTTAATTGACTGCACATTGAGAAGCCCATGTTTCGCGTTCCCCAGGCAGCAGATTCAAAACACAAAACAACTTTCACATTTTGATCTAAATCAGAAGTGTCTGGGAGATGCAGGATCTCTGTCAACCTTAAAGGGGTTTCTTCCCTTTCCAAGACTTACAGTTCTCTGTGGGTCACTGGCTGGGAATATCTCCTGGCCCTTGCTTTGGGGGGTTGGAGGTTAACCTCTTATGCTGCTGGTGGCCTGGGCAACCTGCTGCGTACCCCTGGCGTGCAGAGGCAGGCTGCTCCTCTGGGGAGTGGGAGTAAGTGGGGCAGTTTGCTGCTGCTGGAAGAGGTCCCCCCTTCCCACCACAGCAGCTGCTGCTCCTCCTTCCTTCCCTGATACCTTGGTAGCAGTGTGGATGCTTGCTGTAAGTAGGAAGAGGACGTTGGCTGTTGGGATGCGTTTTCTGCTCAAGCAGCTGGGAAACATCCCTGGGAAAATGATGGCGGGGAGATGCAGCAGTTGCACCTCGCTACTGTGTCGTCCTCTGCAGTCACCCTCTCTTTCTTCCCTTTTCCTCAAAGTGGGGGCAGAATCATCACCTTGGAAGGAAGAGGCTTTGAACTGGTCCAGAACGTGTCCATGGTTGTCCGTGGCATCGGCAGAGAGCAAACGGTGGGTGTCCCCACGGGGTGTCGCCCAGTCACTGGGAGCGGCGCTGCGTGCCCGGTGCCTGAAGACGTTTGGGGGGTGAAGCTGAGGCCGTAGCCCGTGCTACAGCTTGGGCTGGGAGCAGGGCTGGGTGGGACCACTCAGGATGGTGTGGTTTTTGACGTGCATGCCCTCTGCTGCTTTCAGAGCTGTAAGGTTCACACCGACACCGTGATCACCTGCCCCTCTCCAGCTGCCTCCAACATCACCGCAGGGAGCAAGCCCGCACCCGTCGATTTCTATCTCAACGGTCGCCTCTATGCAGACGACCGTCTGGCTCTGGATGAGGAGATGTACCCCGAGGAGGCCTTGCACATCAGCAAGTTCAGCCTGGAGTACTATGCTGACCCCCAGTTCTTCACAGCCAAGAAGGAGAAGTGGATCAAGCACCATCCTGGCGAGCCCTTAACTCTGGTTATACACGTAAGAGGGTGGCATTTACAGCTCTGCTTCTTTCAGGGTGTTGCCTGCTCCCCACTGGGAAGCTTTTCAGTCCTGAGTACCAGCACAGTGACTGTCTATAAATGCAGGAGAGAAGGGGGGTGATGAGGACAGTAGAGTCAGGAGCAGGCAGCTCTTGCTCAGCCTGCTGCACCTGCATCTCTCTTCGCCAGAAGACGCAGGCTGACCCGAGGATGCCCTTTGAGGCATGACGAGAGCGAGCTGCGTTTGAAGGATGTAATAGTACTGAAGCTAATTAAAGTCCTGGACATACGTAAAAGAATCATAATGCACTGGTCTGAAATCAGGCAGGTACTCCAGGAGGTCCTGACAATAGTTATGTATTCCTGCAGAAACAGGTCATGCATTCTTCTCTTTTGGCTACTGATTTCGGCTCCATTAACAAGGAAGTCGGGATACAGCAACCGAGTGGCCTGGACAATGTGCACTAGTAATTCAAAGGCCATTGTTCACTGCAGGATATCCTCACTGGTTGCAATGTGTTTCAGAAATGCACTCCCCCTTTCTCAGGCTCTGCAGACGCATCCCCTGGCTATCTCCTCTGTTGTACATCCTTCCCCCCTCCCAGGTGGGCGCTTAGATCCTTATCTTCAGTGCACAGCCGGGGAAGATCAAAAGCAGATTTTTCCAGGTTCCATGAGGGGCTTGCTTGTCCCATGCCCCATGCTGAGTGAGGAATGGGAAACAGGAAAGTGGGGAATGGCCCAGTTCTGGGTTTCCTGTGGAGTGCTGGAAGAATGTCCCTGCTGAAGGACAGTCCTCCCAGGTCTGAAAAACAGTGGGGAATATGGAAAGTAAAGCAGGAAAATCCATTGCAATTCCGACTGCTGCTCTAAAGACTGATATCCTGCTGCTATTTTTGTCATTAGAAAGAGCCTGACAGCCTGGGCCTGGAAAGCAACGAGTACCAAGTGAAAATTGGCCTTATCTCGTGTGAGATCCAGATTGTTTCAGACAAAGTCATCCACTGCTCTGTCAACGAGTCGCTGAGCAGCTCGGAAAGACAGTTACCTGTGACGGTGAGTCCCAGGAGCCGCCAAGTGCTGAGCGCCCGGGGCAGACGGGGTCCCTGCCGCACACCCTGCGTGCGAAGGGGTCAGCCCTGTGCGCGGGCAGGACCTGCCACGCTCCCAGCAGCCATGCAGAGCCGCACGGGTGGAAGGGTGGACAAAGCACGCTGGCTTGCGGCTGTCCCCAGGGCGGCTCGTTGGCGGGATGCAGGGGTAGCCAGTGCTAAGGCTGCCCCGAGTCACGGAGAGGGGCTGCCGCGCTCCGAACTGGGGGGCTGAGTTAACTGTGCCGTGAGCTGGGGGGGAGGATTGTGTCAGTTCTTGTAAGGCACTGTGAAATCCCAGACATGTGAGTTTTTGTCACTTGCAGTAATTTTCTTTCTGCCCCTCATGAGATATGTTTGGGGATTTCCATAGTTTTCAGTCAGCTGGCCTCCTACTGCCAGCAGAAGAGGTACAAGTGGAGATGAGAATCCGACCCTTACCAGACTGCCCTAAGCCACTGGAGATGGGTCCCTGCATGTGACTGGGGAGGGCAAGAGCAGTACGTGGGGCTGGAAAGTTTCGTGTTGCTTCCCAGGGGCTGCTGTTTTGTCACTGCAGAGAGTTTGGTGTTCAGGGCTGTTGTTTATCTTTGTGTCTGCGAAATTCACAGTATTTTATTACTATCCTTTTTTCCACAGAGGGCTTGACCTAACTGCTGGTCTCTCCCTCAGTTTCCCTCATGTCATGTGCAGCCCATTGCCGTGCAGGGCTGTGACTATGGCTGTTTGTATCTGGAGAGAAAAATGCCACCATCTCCATGGTCTGAGACCCTGCAGCCCCCCTCCCAATCTGTGTGCTAACAGGAAATGGGTGGGAGCCTGCAATGTGGGCAGGGAGGAGGAGGAAGGCTGCGAAGGATGTTGAGGAGGCTGTGGACTTGCACTGTCCAGAAGAAAGGGTTGCCCTGTTCAGTGGTGCATGAGATTCTGTTGCAAACTGGAAAGATGGAAATGCAGAAGTATCAGAATTTCCCGAGTCAGTTTAATGGAAATTCTAAATAGGATAATTTCGGTTTTAGTGAGAACTGAGAAACAGGGAAATCCCTTTGGGGAAGAAAAGGAATTTATGAGTTTGCTAGTCTTGGTCTGACATAAAACATTCAGGGCAGTGCCCTAGGAAGCAGGAGAACGATACCCAGCTCTAAAGTGTCACACGGCTATTAAGAGCGTACCAGCAGTGAGAGTGCAGCTAAATAGTCAACTTTATTCACGTCTGTGCGTACTTATTAGACCTTCATACGTGGTGTGAGTTATCGCCTGCTGGCCATTTCACAGGCAACAGCTGCCTTTGTAACGTACCTGTGATAGCTTTGGTAACACGGGGCCAGACCTGCGCGGTGGTGCCTGCCTGATTGGCATCAAGAACGGCTACCGGGGGCTGCAGAAGCCTCGCCTGTGGATGCGGGTTCGCTCTTCTGGCAGGCGGAGATGCCTGTTGTTGTGACTGTCCAGTTTGCTCCTGTGTAGATGGTAGAGCTCACACCTGCAGCGGTTGGAGCACAGGAAAACAGCCCTTTAAAACATGTCCCACTGTTGGTCTTAGTTCTGACTGTGGTTTTGGGTATGCCAGTGCCGTGAAGGTGTTCTTGGTCAGTGTGAGCAAGCTGCCCAGGGCAGCAGGAGCTGTCTGTAGAGAGGAGACGGTGATGAAGATGGGGCTCCTGAACCTCCCTGTGTTTTGGGGGTCACTTTCAAATATCTCTTTTGGGAGTGCCTGAGGTGAGCTGGAGCTTGATTTTGGTCTAGTTTAGTCCCGGGGGGATCCTGTTAGCACCCTGGGAGGCTATAAGAGGGCTCCATCCGTAAGCTAGAGCGCGGTTCCCAGTGACTCCTGAGGTGGCCCTGTGCCCCAGGTGTTCTGCCCAGCCCTGGCAGCTCTTCCCGGGAGCGGGGTGTCCTCTGGCCCTGACCCCTTCTGCACACCCCCACGTGCTGGTGACAGGAAATGTTGCCATTTAACCTGTAGGCTAATTAATCCCCCTTACAAAATACAGCACTGAGTAGACCTGTCCAAATAAACGAGCTTGCCGAGGCCTTCAAACCCATTTTGGTTCATGACCAAACTGTTGAAACACCGCATTGAACAGCAAGCTTGGGATTTCTTCTCTGGCAAATGCAAGAGGTTGAGTCGGTGGGGATAAAAAGTCTCGACATGCATCAAGGACTTGCCTCAGTGCAGCACTTCAGATGAAAGAGGTGGAAATCTTGAGGCTAGGCAGGGTGCTGTGCAGACTGCCAAACGAACCTCTGCAGCTGCTTGCGCAGCGCTCGTGGCTCCCCGTCCCCATCCAGCACCTCGGCTCCCAGCCGGCGCGCACCGGGGAGCAGACCAAAGCTCTTCGTGGCGGGCGCTGCCTGCAGGCACCACCCCAGAAACAACCAGCATCCCTCTGGGGGATGGTACAAGGCACGTTGGGGCTGGGAGCCGCAGGAGCCTGGCTGCGTGGTCCGGCACTGACGGTCGGAGGCGCTGAAGGTTTTCCTGACCCCGGGTGATGGCAGCCGGCGCTGCCCGCGGCAGGGCAGTCCGTGCTCGCTTGTCTGTGGAGGCAGCAGCGCCCGGAGGTCTGCCCCGGGTGCCCTCAGTTGGCAGCGTCGGTGCCCTCACCAGCGCTCCCGAGAGCGAGGGCTTGGATTTCCCGGCGGGCACAGAGCTGTGTGCGGTGTTTGGGGCATGGCCGTGGTGGGGAGGCCCTGCTTGTGGCACTGCTTTGGCTCACTGCTGACAGCTGACTAATTTAACCACAGTGTGCCCCTTTCCCGGAGGTGCTCTGTGACACAGCTGTAGTCATGAAGTTATTCCAACTCTTCCCTACCTCATTTCAGGGTTTTTTTGCTCAGGTTTCTCTCACTTCTCATTCCTTGAGAGAAGTGAAACTTGCATTTCCAGAAGCAAAAAACTAGCGTGGTCATGAGTTTTCCTTATCAGATGGTGCTGTTGAACCGTTTCATCCCAGGAGCCTAGAGAGCTGTTTATAAGCAGTGCTGAGTAAACTCGCCAGCCTGCCTGTGATGTGTGTTGGCCTCTTTCCTTCAGGAGAGCGAAGGACTGAGCTCAAGTGGTTTGTGCTTGGTGTCACAAGAAGTGCGGGTTGGGAGCAGAGCCAGCACCTCCTGACACCCAGTCCACTGCTTTAGCCACAAGATCATTACTCGTCTCTGGTCTCATTATTATTTATTTTTATTCCCTTACTGTATTTGTATTTCAAAGACTGTAAAGTTTCTTTGCCCGCCTTCTGAGTGGCGGCAGTTCTGCTTGTGGAGGAGAAAGGAGAATGCAGCTGGGATTCAAAGGCCCTTCAGAGGCATAACAGAGTCAGACGATCAGTGGAAGTGGTTCTCTAGTAAAAGCAGTTCAGGCAGTACTGTATGATACAGTGAGCTCTCTAGGACGGGGTTGTCTCGTGCACTGGGGTGGGTACGGTGGGGCCATGGCATGGGCTGGAGCCTGCGGCTCTGCCCCTGAAACCCTGTGGTGGCCCTAGGGTGGGCACTGTTGCGGCACTGCAGCCTGCTGCGAGCTGGCTTCAGCTTTCCACCAGAGCATGCAGGAAGGGGACTGGGCTCTTTTTGAGACCCATGAGGTGCTGAGGTGCAGCGGTGAGAGGCACAGCCCGGCCTCCCCGCGAAGCCTGGTGGGCTGAGCCAGCGTGATCAGTATGTCCCTGGGTGAAGGTCTGCCGAGCACTGCCCCGTTAGTCCCTCCTTGCTCGACTTCTGAGCCGCTTGGCAACGTGCTGCTGAGCTCCTGCTTTTCCTCCCTCCTTCTCCCTCTCTAGATCCAAGTTGGAAAGTTCAACTACACGATTGCGACACTGCACCTTGGGGGAGGAGAGACCGCAATCATCGTCTCCATTGTCATCTGCAGCATCTTGCTGGTCCTCTCTGTCGTAGGTAAGGGAACAGAATGATGAGATGCCAGGCTGTGCCGAGCTTTTTTCTCATTGCATGCAGAGAGGTGAAGATGACTCACTCATATGTTAAGAACCCTCTGAGTGCTGCAGTTGAGCAGTATCTGAAACTGGTCTGGGTGCATCCAGTTGCCACTCTTCTTTGTACAGGACCAAGCCAGTACCCAGGACCAAAGCTTCCTGCAGCATGGAGCATTTGCTGGCTGAAGCCGTAGTTCAGCTCTTTTACTTGAGCCTGTGATACTTACAAATTTACCCTTTCCCCCCCAAACACTTGGTAGCAACTATAATATAAAATAAAGAAGGTGTGAGAAATGGGTCTTGGACTCGCACTGACTTGAACAGGGCTCACTCACAGGCATAACTGTCCCAGACCATCCCAAAGGTCCACCTAGCCCGAGGTCCTGTCATCAGTAACAGCCAGTGACAGGCGCCTGGCAAAGAGTATGAAGAACAGAGCAAGCGTCCTTAGCTGCGGATCTGGAGCAGACCCAGCAGTTTGCTGACCTCACTGGAAGCTGTGCAGCACACCTGTGTCCTCTGGCTAGGGTAGCTTCTCATCGCATGCCTGGAATGACTCTGTAGCAAGAAACCTGTCAGTTCACAGCAAATTAGGTGTTTCTAATAGGGGTTTAATTTATTTTTAATAAATGTTATAATGCACGCTATTTATTAAATGCACCACCCGCCATTAGAAACATATTTCTGGAGGCACGGGAAGACTGTCAGACATCAACACTGTAATACAGGTGGTAAACGTCTTAAAATCTGTATTCATTAATCAGCTGGAATACATTAATATACAGTTAAGCTGAATATAGACAGCCCAGACCTAAAGTGAAGATGACAGTTACAGCATGATCATTAAATTCCAGCTGGTTTTACTTACTTACAGATAATCAACAACTGCCTGATCAGATACCAGTCTTGTAGGTGTTAAACCAACACTGAGTTTAGCTTTCTGCGCCCGTGTCAGCAGGGGACCGCTCTGATCCCAGCTGCAGGTGCTCCTAAGCCCTAGCCCAAAAGGCATGCTCCCTTCCTCTTTTCCAGCTCTCTTTGTGTTTTGCACAAAGAGCCGCAGAGCAGAGCGCTACTGGCAGAAAACCCTGCTCCAGATGGAGGAGATGGAGTCGCAGATCCGGGAGGAAATCCGCAAAGGTAAGTCACCGTTCTGGGCACCGAGGAGGAGCCGGGACTAGGAGGATTGAAGCCATTCACCTTCTATTCTGTAGAAGTTTATAGAATTATTTATAGGAGAATTTCTGTCGTCACTTTTGAGCTTTGGCAGGGTTTGTGAATGGAAGTGTCACTCTGCCGCTGCCTGACTTGGGCAAGCCACCGAACTTCAGTGCCACGCGTTTCCCTGTCTCGGGATTAAGGGCTCTTGGCCGTGTCAGAGAGTTGCTTGAAGGCCACGCTAGTCTTTAGTGTGCTTTGTGATTGGGTGCAACAGAAATTGCAGCTAGAGCAGTGGGAGATGCAATGCAAGCATCTGCGTCTGGTGTCTCTGTGGCACAGGCTGAGGTCCTCCTGCAGAGCCAGGCTGGGGGCTGCTCTCCTGGAGGCAGGGGAAATGTTCTCTCTGTCGGTGCTGCGGGATGTGAGGGATAATGCTGATGGTTAAACCCTGACGGTAATCTGCTGCTCCTTGAGAAAACCCTGCGTCAGCCCACGCGGGGGAAAGGCTTGAGGAGGCAGAGATGAGACATGCCACGTTTTTCAGTGCCAGCCTGCTTACTGTCCCGGCTGGTAGAATATTGGAGCTCTTACCGTCTGCGGGTCTCTTTGTGTAAGGTTTTGCAGAACTGCAGTCAGACATGACAGACCTGACCATCTGAACCGCAGCCAGGGGATCCCGTTCCTGGAGTACAAGCACTTTGTCACCCGGACGTTCTTCCCCAAAGTAAGGCGATACTGCATTCCACGGGCACCTAATCGCTCCCAGGTCCTTCCTGACCAGATCAGGGCTCTGCTTTCCCTCTGCTAAAGGGTTATTGCAGCATAACAAAGTCATTCCACTGTTACATATTTAGTTGTCACGTATTTCAGCCTCAATTATCGTCAAAAGTGGAGCTGCAGTTCCTGGGGTGTGAAGCAAGGTCAGGCTTGCTCACACACAATAACAGCCCGGCGGCAGCGCCGTCCCGGGAGCCACTCTAGCTCGCCTGTTTGTTGCCATTGGGCACCCTCTTCTGAAGGCACTCTTGAGCAGAAAATGCTGGGGACTCCCCCTTCTCTCCAGGTCCCATGTCACCCCACTCTGTTTGGCAGAGGCTGCGGCTGAAGGGTGGCTTTTTGTTCCACGCAGCGTGCCACCGAGCGTTCCCAGCTGCTCTGCTGGTCCTCAGGAGCTTGTTAGATGTCTTCGTCTCCCCCTTTCTCTCCTCTCTGTCAAAGGCTGGGTGCGTGGTGCTCCCAGTAAGGCACCCCTTGGGCGCCCCGTCCCAGTCTGTCTACCCAGAGTTGTCCTCCAGGGCTGCACCAGACACGCCGGTGCCATAATTCCCATCACCGGCTGCTCCACTGTGTCGCTGTGTGCCCTTAACAGCGGCTGTATTTCACCCCTGAGGCAGTTGCATTTCAGTGGTGAGGAGTGAGATGATGATTTATGACTGCAGAGTGTTTCATTAGTAGTTATTACTCAGGTTTTTAAGTTATCCAATCTCTATATATCTGCACACTAGAGTCTTTAAGATTCAGGCTGCTATATGAATGTTAGAGACTTAAACATTTTTCCCATCTGTTTCAAAAGTTACATATGTTAAAACACCCAGTACTCCTCTATTTTGACTTAGTCTTCTATAATGCTTTCTCTTCTGGGATTTTTCTAGCTGTCAAATTAGTCTATTTGCAGTCTCCCTACCCTAACAGCCTTGTGTCTGCGTAGACATCTGCCTCCCCCCATTCTTGTGGCGTTCGCTCATTCAAGAGGCTCTTGCAAAGTGTTTAAAGGCTTCGTGAACCATACCAATGCGTTTCTTCATAATGGGTGGTCTTCAGTCCCGATGACATGTTTCTCCATCTCATTCCCTTGCGGTGCACGGCAAACGAGGAGATCCCCGGCCGGGTGCAGCCACCCTCCCCTAACGCTGTGCTTGGTTGCAGTGTTCCTCGCTCTATGAGGAGTGCTACATCCTGCCGTCCCAGCAGCTCAGCTCCCAGGTGGGCTCCCAGGTCCAGGAAACTCATCCGCTCCTGGTGGGGGAATGGAAAGTGAGTAACCCACTAACAAAACAAATGCTTTTGGGTGGTTGCTAACCGTACTCGCGTGTGTTGACAAAGCCATGTGTTTTCTTGTGGTGTGTGTGGGATGCTTCATCACTTGAAACAATTAGCACATACCAGCGCCGGATCAGCTTTGGCTGATTGGAGAAGGCAGATCTGTGGATCTGCTCTGGCATGGAGGAGCCTTGTCTGAGATCCTCTCCAGCTCTGCTGTGGGCTTTTCTTCCTGGGTGTATCGTATGGTGTGTCGCTTCAGTCCCATACCCAGTTCATCATAAATGAGATTTCTCCCAAGCAGAGACTTGGTAAAACCAGAGCTGGTTTTCATGTGGACAAGATGTAGGAATTGAAGAATCAGAGATTTACCTGGATTGGAAGGGAGATCTGCTTAAAGCAGCTCCAACTACAATGTTGCTGAGGGCCCTGTCCAGCTGCATCAAATATCTTAAAGGATGGAAATCCCACAGCCTCTCAGGGCCCCGTGCCAGTGTCCAGCCACCTTAAAGGTGAAAACTTCCTTGTTATTTAGTCAGCGTCCCGTGCTCCATCTGGTGTCCCTTGCCTCTCATCCTAGCACTGTGCCAGCAGAGAAGAGCCTGGCTCTGTCTTCTCTGCCGTGCCGTGGGGCAGCTGAAGACTGCAGCAAGATCTGCCCTTACCAGTTCTTTTTAAGGCTGACCAAACCCAGCCCTCTCCACCTCTCCTTGTACGCCCACCGGTTGTTTTGGCAGCCCTCAGCTGCGCTTGCTCTGGTTCACCAATGTCCGTCTCATAGCGGGGAGCCCAAAACTGCCCGTGGTACTCCGGGCAGCCTCACAAGTGCTGAACAGAGAGGGATGGCCACTGCCAGTGCTCTGCTGGCCGAGCGGCTTCTGATGCAGCCCTGTATCACAGGCAGTTGTGCCCTCGCCAGGAGAGCGTGCTGCTGACTTGTATCTAGCAGAGGGAGTAAGAGGTCTTCAGCCCAGTACCTCTGTGTTTGGCAGGGACATCCTTGCGCTCAGGAAGGGTAAAAGCTAGAAGAAAACAAGAAGCAGGGTTTTTCTCACTCAGCTTTCTATTTTTTTCCTCAGATCCCTGAAAACTGCAGACCCAATATGGAAGAAGGAATCTCACTGTTCTCCACCTTACTCAACAACAAGCACTTTCTCATTGTGTTTGTCCATGCTCTTGAGCAACAGAAGGACTTTGCTGTTAGAGACAGGTATGAGCTTCAGAACCAAAGACCTGGCAGCTGGAGGAGGCTGATTTATTCCTAACCTGTCAGGAAGACAGCTGATGTCTGGAGTCGTGCATTTCAGTTGAAGGTTGAGTTGTACTTCCCTCCCACTTTTCTAATAGAAACAGAAAGCCATAAACCTCCGTTATCCTGAGGAGCACCAGAAGGTACAATGAGTGACTTGCTTATGAGTGTTTGTACCTCTGAACACTTGGGTTACAAGTAAGAGGGTGTGCACTGACCCAAGGTCCTGCCACACTGAAAGAGGGTTTGAAGTTCTAACACCATTGAGAAGGCTCATGAAAATTGTGTGAAATACTGCCTTTGTGGTTTGGGTTTTTTTGTGTCAGTTGGTGGTTTAGTCTTGTTGGGCTGGTGCTTGAGTCGTACACAATTCTGTGTTTCAGATGTAACTTGGCCTCCCTGCTGACTATTGCGTTGCATGGGAAGCTGGAGTATTACACCAGCATCATGAAGGACCTCTTGGTGGATCTGATAGATGCTTCAGCTTCCAAAAACCCCAAGCTTATGCTGAGGAGAACGGAATCCGTGGTGGAGAAGATGCTCACCAACTGGATGTCCATCTGCATGTACAGCTACCTCAGAGTAAGAGAACCAGATCACTGCTGTTGTGGGTGCGAGTTCAGCGCTGCGCGCGGTGGGAAGGAGGGATGTGTGGGACAGCTGAGGACCGAAATACCTGCCAGCATTGCCACTGGAATGGTCACTAACAGTTGACAAACTCCAGTGCAGCGAAAGGTTCGAGTGTGGAAGAGCAACCTTCAGTTCAGTTGCTTCTCCACTTCTGCCTGGGGATTTGGTGAGATCAGATGTCGCGGCGGGCCTTTCCTCAGGCCAGAGCACGAACTGACGGTTTCACCATGCTAGAGAAGAGAGCCGGAGGGGAGGTGAAAACTAAACCAGAATGGCTTGAGGTTTTGGAAACCGTTCCAGTTACTTGTTTTCTCTGACCAGCCCGCGCAGCCGTGCTGATGGTCCCAGCCAGTTCAGCTTTGTCTGTCTGGAGTGTGAGAGCCCCGGCTGCCGGGAGCGCTGGTGGCGCTGGGGCAGGGGCTGCTCCGTGTCGGTGCCTGTTGGTACGTGGGGAGGTGTCTCGCACGGGAGGTGTCCTCGTGGTTCTGCCCTGGCCAGGCAGGTCTTAGCAGGAGAGGTGGGATGTCTGTTCCAGGCTGTCTTCCGATGGTAATGAAAAGGAATATATTTGGCGTCTCAGAGCACATCAGCAGTCCATCTGCTCAGTGCTTTATCTCCAACGTTCGCCAGTTCTGGTTGGAATTTCCCAGAAGGATTGAGCAATAACTTAATTGATTCCACGGCAGTTAATTGGAGGACACCCCATTATACCCACAGGGGAGAGCCTTGAAAAAGCCTTTGAAAAATCTCTTTTCCCAAAGTGTTTACTATAGCCACAGAAGCAATACTGTATTGTCCTCGTACATATCGTAATGTCTTCTGATCCCAGCTGATGATCACTCTTTGTCCTAAAGCCTGTGGTTTTGTAGTTAATAATCTTTCATTTTAGCTCACATAATTAGCCAGTATAATGAAAGAAAAGTTAAAGGAACGAATGAGGATGGCTGTGCCGATGCAGCACGACTATCCAGACTGTAAGAGCAGAAAAGAGTGAATTAGTGAAATTTTTTTTTTAATCTTCAGTTTTTGTGCCTGTAGTTAAACCGTTGGAGAAAAAAAAGTGCTGATCTCTCCTTTTGGAAAGTGGAGACCACATGTGAGGCATCTGATCCAACTCTAGTTTGTGCTAAAAATGGACATTGTGCAAGAAGGCTTTCTCAGGGGAAAAAAAATAAAAAGAGGGAAGAAAGTCGAGTCTTATCACGCGGGCCTGAAGACTTGGGCACGTTACATAGCTAATTAACGGCGAGGAGCTGCTGAGTGCCAGCGTGCCGCCCTTCCTTGGGGCGCCTGGCGGGGAGTTGCCCGTCACCGCAGGCTTGTCCAGGGTCCGTGGTGGGTCCTGTGGCCATCCCTGCGGCCAGGGCGGTGCTGGTGCGAGCTGTGAGCTGGCTTTCCCGTGCCGTGCAGCCCTGGCCCACCCTGCAGAGGGATGAGGAGGGACAGGGTTTGGGTGGGAGTGGGTGTGCAGGGCGGCGATGGCCCTTTGCAGAGCTGACGGGCCACCCGCTGGCCCTGATTTCCACCCGCCTGCGGATCAGTGCTCAGCAGGGGCTAACGCTGCACGCTGGGTTTGCAGCCCCTCCTCGCTTCACGTGCTCAGCCTGAAGCCGTGGCAGTGAAGACCATCGCAGCACTTCTCGCCGCAGCCTGTTTCCCACTTCTGAAAAGCGAACGGTTTCCATACTAGAGCGGAATGAAGGGTTGGTTTCCAAGAGACTTTCACATCACACGTGCTCTGCAGTGAGGGTGGGGGACCTGATCAGAGGAGAAACGGTGCTGCCTGCTGAAGTACGGAGGCAGAAGAGATTGATCAGCCAGAAACGTTCAGAGAGGCCCTTGGACGCTCCCAGGCGGGCACGAGCTCAGCGGTGCAAAGGGGTGGGGAGGTCTGGGTCCGGATCGGCAGAGCCGGGACGTTCCCCGCTGTGCCAACGGGCACGGAGCAACTGCAGTCAGACAGACGGCACCTCCATACATGTGGGCTGGTTTCAGCTCCGGGCTGTGATTTAAATACTAGCGATAGTCAGACGCCTCCCATGTGCCTTGCGTTCCTCTGGATCAAACTCCGTTGCCTTCACAGGGGCATTTCTTGGTTAAAAGAAAGGCTGCCCGCCTGCCTGTAGCACTGGTCTGTCGGACGTGTGACGATGGGTCTGGTTTTCATTCCTGAATTATCCCCATTAATCACAACGTCTATTTGAAACAGCTGCTGCAAAGGTCCCTGCCGTGGTGCAGTGGAAAGGTTCCAAGTGCTTGTATTTTCCCTTGTAAGTCAGCGCTACATGCTCGAAACATTTGTTTCGTATTAATGCTCTGCCTAACAGTCCGTCCATTTGTGTTTTGGGGGAAAATGATTTGAGGGAGCTGTCTTCAACTGGGAAGGAGCTGCAGGCCGCAGTCACTAGTGTTCTGAACATGCGGAGGGCACCTGAAGGCAGCGGAGTCACCGCTGTGACGGGGGTGTTCGGCTCGGTGCGTGCAGATGTGATGGAGAGCTAGCAGGAGGCTTGTGGCTTGGGACTGGATTCAGAGGAAACTTGCAGCATTTGCACAATTGATGCAGACCTCTGTTTCTGCAGAACAGAGTGAGAATCGTAGATAAAGTGGTCCGTGTCTCTACTTTCTGCTACAGCTTTGGTGGCAAATACTGAAAGAAAAGCCTTCCCTGTGAGATACCGTGGTACCATTGTGCCTGGCTCCTAACAAGGTTGGGGTACTGGGAGTTAAAGGAAGATTAAGGTCCTGGAATTCAGCTTTTAGGTCTAGGTCCAAGCTTCCCAAAGTTCTGCGTGTGGGACGGAGCTGAGGGTTGGTTCTTCACAGAATGCAAACAGATAATCATCCCAAAATTAGCAGACACTTGGGATGAGCAGCTGTTTTCTGTGCTTTTCCCACCCCAGCCTCACCAAGGCATTTTGGAAATGGCTGTAACGTGTTCCTGGGAGGACATCGCTAATGACTTGTCAGCCTTGTTAATAGGGCAGCAACATGTGAATCCAGGCTGTGCTCTAAACCTTTTTTTTTCTTCCCAAGCATATAAAAACCAAGCCCTCCCACGCTCATCGTGCGTGAAACAGTTCAAGTAATGCCAGCCTGAACTGTGCTTTCCATTACTGCAAAGTTATTTCAGTGCCCTGGGTAGCTTTAAGAGCCCGTAACAGTTCAGTCAAAAATGAAAATGAAGTCTCATTAAAATACATTCACAATAGGAGGAAAAAAGGCCCCAGACTGTGTTTTTTTTAAGTATTTTTTTGTCCTGAATCAGCACTGATCTTTTCTAGTTAAACTTCCTTTCTCCCAACTAGCCAAGTCCAAAGACAGTTTTGATTCGTTTCCAGATGAGTTTTCTGAACAATGCTTGAGGTTTCCAAGTTTGCCATTTTATCTCTAGTCCTTGCCTGCCAGCCCTTCTTTCCCCTCTTTGAAATTTGCTGTCTGATTAGCACTTTTGCAGATTTCCATAACATCCCGCAGTTCCTGAGCCTGAAAGCCAGAAAGCCAAACAGAAATAGTATCTCGCCGGCGGAGCACTGTCGTTATTTCCCATGTGGCCGGTCCCGGGGCTGATCCTGCTCCTGCAGCAGCGGCAGGTCCGAAACCCCCGGCTCCTCCACCGGCTGCCCCTTCCCCCGTGGCTTTACGAGTGTGGGAAGGTGCCACACGGTCAGCGCCGACCCCTGCAGCCTGTGCTGGTTTCAAGCCACAAAGAGCTCCTGTATCAGCAGGACTCCCACTTTCTTACTGTTTTTGGAGGCAGCCGTTGGCAGCCCCCTCGCGTCTCGCTGCGGCCGGAGCTGCGGCCGGGGCCAGAGCTTCCCACGGTGGGGACGGGGCAGGCTCCAAAACCCGGCGCTGAATTTAGCCTTGGGTTCGTCCCTGCTGTGTGCTCACGCACATGCAACATAAACAGAGTTCCTGTTCTAGCAGGGCCATCGCCAGGCCCTGTCAGCACCTCTTGGGTAGGGTCAGCTTGGCCGTGCTCCACAGTGCGCTTGGGGAAGGCAGGTGCTGCAGCCCGGGGACGTCTCCGTGTCGGTGCCATCCCCTTGCTTGTTATCTCGTACTCCCGCCTTTCTCTCAGAAACTGACTCTTCTTTATGTCTTCTGACATTTTCTTCACTCTGTTCACAATACTCAACTTCTCCGTGTCCCCACGACTCCACACCTTTACTTTCTGGAAGCCGTGCCTTCCTCCTCTTCCAGCATCGGCCGCTCTGCTGCTGAGCCCGTTTTGTGCTGCGTGCTCAGAAGGAGCGTTGCAGGAAGTCATTAAACCCCGGCAGAAGGCCCAAGGAGCTTCCCTGCGTTCATAAAAAAAGTTGCCCTTGGAAAATAAAGCGGGTGCACCATTGGCACAGATGGTGCGTGCCCACCTACAGCCCTGCTGTAGTGTCTTACCGTCAACTGCGCTGAATGCAGCCGAATCAAAATTGACATCAAACTAATTGCTTTAGCAATTATAGGGCAATTAGAATAAAAGAATCACCAAGACTTAATTAAGAAGCAGATTGAACAGGATTTAGCAGCTCTTAGCTGAGAAATTTCAAAATCATTCAATAATCAGTTGTCTTGAGTAAGATTTCAGATGGCAGGAATGTTTGTGCGGGGTGTGTGATGCTCAGAAAGTACATAAATGTGCAATAATTTGCACTTGCCTCGTTGGAAAGAAATTGCACATGAACATTAGGGAGAATGGGACATACTCCAGTACTGAAAAGTTTCTTAAGAAAATAGCTTATGTTTTACTTGCACATCAGCGTAGCAGACAGAAGTGGATCAGAAATCTGGCATTAAACCATGTAGCTG